AAATCTAATTCTGCGCCTAATTTTGCACACTAGTTTTTGTGGATTAAAATAAGATAAGCCATTTATCACTTTGATTGGAACCTGGCGAGTATACCCGTGCTGATCGGAAATGTTAGAAGGAAAACTGATTTTTTCTGCACTTCGATGCTACCTGTTGTATTTATAATATGCCTTCCTTAGATCTTTTTTGAAGAGATAAGTTGAAGAGACAACTAATTCTTGAGATTTGGGCAAGAGTTTAATATTATTTACATATAAAGAACACGCTTCCCAACTGTAAACTAGGGCCTGATCCGCTGGTATATGAAAAATGATTTTTGTCTTAGGGGGAACTGCATATGTAAAAGTTGGGGATTATACCAAACAGAATTCACGGAAATCTTCACACCACGGAGATGTTTTCACTCACGAGCTGTTAGTTGAATTACCTTGGATATTAGCATTCGAACATCTATTTATCAGTTTGTCCCGATTATCATTATGAAACAGTGAAAAAAAAGTTTAAACGTTCAGTTTGTTTTTCAGGTACAATGCTGAAAATCTTTATAATAACATTGCTGTTATTAAATTAAACGAAGCTGTTGGTTCAAATCGAGTTCTCCCCCTATGCAATACTTCCTTCAGGACCTCAAAAGACCACAAATTGGCGGCTGTAGGAATGGGCGTGACAACATTTAAACCCAAAAAACAATACGCGTCCGTCTTACAGGAAGTCCAGCTTACTGAGACGTTAAACTCTTGCCTTTTCAGTTTCAACAAATACAAACAAGCTTGTGTTGAGACGCCTTTTAAAGATTTCGTGAAAGGTACTTGTTCAGGGGACTACGGTGGCCCGGTTTTTGTGATGACCAAAGATACACATAGACCGGTTTGCTTGTATGGTATCATTAGTTATACAAATAGTGGATGCAATGATGACACTGTTTTGACCCGAGTCCCATCTTACATAAACTGGGTAAACCAGAAAATACACTATTTCGATTCTTCTGCTTAAGCTATTATTGAAATTGATTTTTCTTTTTTTTTTCAATTTTATCTAATAAATACGCAATCAGCAACGCATCTTGGATTTTATAAGTGTCGACGATCCAAGGAAAACCAATTTATAGTGAAACGTTCTAATAATAAAACGTGCTACTGAGTGGTATGCTCTGGAATTGTTCAGGGGAGGGGCGGTTTTTTAAGTTTGAAATATTGAACTGATTTTAAGTCGTATTGGTATTGATGAATTTTTAAGAGTGAAAGAATGAAGTTATTTTTCATTATATAGATCTGGATGATTTTTTTTCTTCTTCAGGATAAAGTCTAAAGTTTTGTGCACCTCAACTTTGATTTTTCACGGTTTGACAAACAATTTTTGAAGTGAATGCAATTTCCACTATCGAACAGTAAAACTGTAAATGTCACGAAAAATTTTAGTTTTAGAAATGGATTTTTGTTTTCTGAAATCCCTGGGGAATAAAAAAACCAACCGATCCATTTTTCGTTAGATAGGGCTATTTTACAAAAAGTGCCTCTCATAAACAGTATTTGAAACTCAAAGAGCTTCAATGTGATATAAGTTTTTCATCAAACTTCGTTAGCTAAAAAAGTATTTGTTAACTTTTTTTTTCGATTTTATTGTTATTCTACCTTCCCAACTGTACCTTCCTGGCTGTTTTCCATTCCAATTGTCTGTTGGCTAAGTTCGAAAAGTTTTTACTTTTTCTACCTTTGACAAAAGGCTGCTAATTTGTGCGCCAACTTCATAACGACCTTATTTTTGCGCCACAATGGAAGTTTTGAGAAAAATCAAAAACAACGTGTTAGGACATCTGCAAACGTTCGATTAAAACTTTTTCTTTTTGAAGCACTCGCACCCTCAAAAAAGTTATTGGCTTTTATTATTTTCGCCAAGAGCATTTCAAGAAAAGTTTAAAGATTGATCAAAAAATGGGAACTTTGGGTGATGAGGGGTGTCGAAGACATCTATCCTCCCTATCCAAATCCGCTATTGTACAAAAATATAATCGTTTCCACTTTCAAGGAAGCGTCGAAATACATATTCTCGGTCGAATTTTTTGTCAGACTCTTATACAATTGAAAAGGCTGAGCTCAACTAAGAAAACTACGTTTCACATGTGATCATTTATTTTAAATTTCTAATAATGGTTTGAAAGTAACAAATTTGTAACAAATAATTCGCAATAATTTCTGTGCTGTGAACGCGTTTATGGCTCTTGTGCCTTGTAAACCGAAAGTTTCCCCAAATCAAAAAGATTCAAAATTAAATTAGGTGACAAATTATTTGATCTTATCAATAGACAAAAAGACCCGATATACGTCATTTTCTATTTCACGTAGCGAGTGCAGAGGAAAATTTCAAAAAAAAACAAATTACGAAAAAAAGTTTCAATTTCATTTCATTTGTTTTTTGAAGATTATGTCAACTTTCAAGTCAAAAGCACTTTCAAGGATAATCAGTCGCAGCCGGAACATTCAAGCTTCTGTTTTGATATAACAGATTTTAGCTTATGTCTAGCTTACGAGTCTTAAAAAACTAACTGCCTTTAAATATACCTAAACTTAGTTCTTGTTAAATTCGGTAAAGTTAATGAATAGAATACACAAATTTGACATATTTACCATAAAGTTTGAGCATCAATAGCGACAATAAATTTTATGACCCAGCTTTTATTTATCCAACAACCACTGTGTGCAATGTTGAAAGCCATTTTAGGCAACTTTCAAAAACTAGCTGAGAAAAGTTTGTTTCCCAGTTCTTTAAAGTTTTGTTAGTCAGCCAAGAAATTAATTGATTGCCAGAAAGTTTCAAATTGATCAGACTTTAAAAAAAATGCTCTGAAATTTTTTTGTTATAAGTTGTATGAAGTAAATGGGTATGACAAATTTTAGAAAAAAATTGAAAAAATTTTAAATGTTTCCCGTGCCCAAAGAGATATACTTTGCATCCACCAACACTTTTTTCGGTTAATTAACTAGAATCAAAAAATGTTTGCAATCCATAAACAGAAAAATTGAAAACTAAAAAAAGGATAGTGGATTGTGAGCTGTAACACTAAAAGAAAGCTGGTGGTATCGGAGCAGCACTCGGAAGTTTTTGACTGACTTTTTTAATCTCAGACTAGTTTTGTCACTCTGGAAAAATCTATTTGGAGTTTATATATTTAAGATGTGTTTTGATTTGGACCTTTTCGGCAATTAAAACAATAGGTTTCATTAAAAACAAGACTGCTCGTATCAGGGCGAAATTTGAAATTTTTTCTATTAAAATCATCCCCCCACACGCCATATAAAATGCAAAACAATTGTTTTTGCTCCTTGTAGCAAATAAATTATGGCAAATAAGCTTCTTTCAACCAATTTGGAACTATTTCTAAGACGGATTAAATCTCCGCTTACGCGTTAATAGCGCGAATTATATCGCGCGTTAATTGTCTCAAAATGGTCAAAATGGTAATCTTTGAACAACTTACGAAAAATGATCACAGATGAAATATCTTTTCAAATTTAGGCTCAGGACAAAAATACCTTTTGAATGATATAAAAAAATTCCGTCAAAATTGGCTAGTTAAAAAGTCGAAGTTTGTCTGAAGAAAAAAACCCACCCCGAGCACAAATAATTCGTAATTTTTGTACTGGAAGTCGGAACAATAACAGCAACGGTATTATTGTTTTCCTCTAATAAACATAAAATCAACATCCTTATATGAATCAACAATAACTGCGTTTAAAGTTTTTTGAACTAGTTTTGCTCTTTTTTCAAGAAACCACTTATGATGTTGAAAGCGCAAGCGTAAAATAGATAAACATATCTGGTTAATCAACAATCAAAATCATTCCAATTTGATTTGAAGCTAGCTAAGGAGTCATAATAGTTTCCTTAAAAAACTCTTGCAGGTAAAAATTATTATATATTGCGTTTTAACCGTTCCCCTCATTATTCTGATTTTGATGCTGGGGAGAAAAAAAGTTCAAATTTAATATTTTATTTGCAAATTTTTCGTCAAAGTTAAAATAATAGTCGGAGCATTTAGGGCGTTAGTTTGATATGAGCCGCCTTGTTGTGGTTAAAACAACTTGACAAAACAAAAAAAGTACTGATGTTTTCCTTCGATTTCTTTTTTTTGTAATTATGTATACTAATGAGAGGCATGTTTTGCGCCTTACAAGGATATTGTGGTATCAAGTTGTTTTTTTTTGTATATTTTTGAATTGCTTTGAGTGCAAATTATTTCATTACACTTACTTCGTTTTAAATCATAAAATAAGGATTTTGTTTTCAAATAAACAGATAACACTGCGCATAGCATAGCCTGCAAAACATTCCAGTTCTTTTTGTCCAGGAAAAATCGCAATAAAAAAATTCATTGAAAATTCGCCGTCATTTTAAGCCTGCACTTTCAAAATTTCTCTGTCAAATTTTGCAATGGGTCCTCTTTTTTATTAATTTTTAACGACATCCATTTTCGACTGACCGACACTAAATTTTTTTGAAGTCGCCTTTTTTTATTATTTCAAGCTCAGATTTTTGGTTTCTTTTAAACGCTATAAAAGTTTTCGTCAAGATATCTATCCCATTTGTAGGTGGACTAAAATTATTTTAAAAGCTCTCTTATAACCCTATAAATATCGCTTTTACCAATAAAACTGGTTTGTGACAAACCAGAAAAAAAAATGACGGTGGAGTGAACTTTTTTGACAGTTTCGACCAAATTGCGTATTTACGCACCACGCTTTTTCCTCAAGTTTAGTGTATTTTTTGCCGAAAGCGAACTCACTAAAGTTTAGTGTCGGCCATTCGAAAACAAATGTCGTTACATATGAACAAAATGAGGATTCATTGCAAATTTTGGCAGCCAGAATTGAAGAGGCTCGCCCTCCCTTCGCTCCCTCGGCACTTAACTGCTTCATCAAAATATTTGAAAATTGGGACGACAATTTGATATTAGTATCGCTCCAAATCTCAGCTGCTTTATGCTGGCCTAACAAAAAAGGGATTCTATTTAACAATTATTTTTCAAAGTAAAGCTAATCACATTTTAAAGATTAATATTGAAAAGTAGGTTGGCACAAACAGATTCATAGGAATCATTTTAGGAAATAAAATAGTTAAAGCTTTAGAAGTTAAGTTGCACTTTTAAGTAGTTTCATATAAATTTAAGAGTAAAGCTATAAACCGAAATTTAATATTTCATTCCAAATGACAACTCAGGCTGAGATTGTAAATCACATTTTGGAGTCAAACTGAGTTCCGGTTAAATCCAGGGGAAGTGTCGGTGAAAAATACATGGGATAGTTGAAGCCAGCTGTCGTTCCAGATACGACTCCGCTTTGCATCGGGTTGAAAAGGCCCTCGGCATTTAAATGACTTGTCGGAAACGACAAAGCCGAGCTAGTGGATATTCCGCCGTGATTCGTTTCCGAAGTTGAAACACCTGGGTAGTTTTGGTTGGAAGATGAGGTATGTAGAATTGAAAAGTGGTTCCCACCGGGAATCGAAACTTGGTTTGCAGCCGAGGTGGCGGCTATGGATGCGGCTACTGCTGAGTTAGGGTCGAAGATTGAGCCTCCAGCTGTGTTCCACATTGAGGGGTAGGCTGATTGATTAATAGGATTAATGCACTGGTTTAGAGGTGCATGTTGGTGCTGGGCTATGTTTGGCTTCACGTCTGCGGATATCTGATGTTGCACTGAAACGAATGTTCATTTTAGCAAATGTGATGATGATTTAGGAATTTCAATCTTTTTTGAGCAAAATTTGTAACTTCCGATAATTTCTTTGAACCAAGGTTTTGGGTTCTGTGAATGGCAGACAACCTGCTAAAAATTCAAAAATTTTAAGAAAATTCGCTTGGAAAAAAAATTTTACGCTTTTTTTGCGAATCATCTCCCCGGCAGTTGTAAATTTGCTCAAGTGTCATTCAATGAAGTTTTGTAGAATTTCTGCCAGAAAACAATTTATTATAAAAACAACTTATTATTATTATTATTAAAGTTGCATTTAGGTTCAAAGATTTCAAAAACTGAACTTTCTGTTTTTCCTCTTCTATAATTTTTCTGATTTTTTTTTCAAAATAGAAAAAATATGGCTGCAACTTTGAAAACTTTCAAAACTGATCATAACCAAAAAGATGATCATCAAAGATAATCAACAATAAACCATCAAAGACCACGTAACATAAACAACTCTCGATTTTGAGATCATGATTAAACGAAATCAGAACAAAAGTAAGAGTAAACTTAAAAGAAATGTTTTCTGTAACTTTTTATTGATTAAGAGACGATTGATCTAGCCATTAAATTGTGACGTTCTCAGTTCAAACTGAAAGTTCTTCGTCTTTTAAGGATATGATTAATAAAGCAGTAGTAAACGATCACACAACAACGTAAAAACAACATTAACCTGATTGCAGTTAAATTGAGCAAACTATGGGCAATTAAGGGCTGAAAGCATTTTTCATCAAAAATTCATAAATTAGATTTCTTCAAGATGCTCAATCGGCTGAAGCTAGGTCAATAAGTTGAGAATAAACATTTTTCCGTTCGTGAAAACTGTTGGCGAAAAAGACAATTGACTTTAAAAAAATCAACTTAAAAAGAACATTAACATCAAATGTTTCTCCACCTTCCGAGTGAGAATCGATTTAATCAACTGAGAATCATCGATATACTATTTTCATCAGAACGGCAAGGCGAGAATTCGTCGAAAACGACAACTGGTATTATTTAGAAAAAGCGACGAAGAATAGTGCGGGTGAATCAGTGTTCACCATTTAATCTACCGATTCGAGTTGCCGCACAGTCCGATTTATCGCGTTGCGAGCTGTCGCTTGCGACGATTTGTCGCCTCACGGATCAGAACACCTCGCATTTTGGTCTGCTCTCACTGATCGGTAAATATTCTGAGCCTATGAAATCAAAATGTCTCACTTGAATTGATGAGTTTCTTGTGTGGTATATGATAGGGTGTCAGTCTATGATTAGCCGAAGATGAGTTGGACGAAGACGAGGCAGAGGAGGAAGAGTGTCCCCTCAGTCTGCCCTGGGGGTCCATGAGAGTGAAGTCATACATAGGGTGGGGGAAGGGGTGTGCTGCTGACATGGGGTGAGTGACTGATGCTCCTCCCCGGTGACAGGGGTTGGCTGTGTGATGACCTAGGGGCCAGGTGCTATCTAAACATCAAAAGAAACTTTTAACTATTTGAAATTTGGAGGTTTAAAATTGCTGTGTTAATGATTTGAAAAAAAAAATGTTTGTATAGCCTACGGTTGGTGTAAATCATAAATTGCTGAAAGCAATCATGAATAAATTTAAGATTTCTTCAATTAAACCAGGAAACGAAAAAAATTGCGGTGAATGACAACCAGGTACTGTAGCGCTTTTAAATTGGATAACACGGGAGATTCGATGCTATTTTATAGATTTCACTAGAGTGTTTTATCGAGTTGAAATGGGATTTGTATTCAGCTTTCAGTAATCGAATTTGGTTGTGACTTGACTAACATGGAGATAGATGGTGGTGCATGGCATGGGTGTGGTGTTCGAACAGACTCTTGTCCTTGTGGTGGGCGGCTGCTGCTGCAGCAGCCGATACGGCAGCTGCCGACTTCATCAGACCCAGTTGATCATGCATAGGCTTGTCTTTCGTCTCCAGGAAGGCTTTTGCGAACGGGTTGTGTTTGATCTTTAGCGAAGTCACCTATCAACAGAATTAAATGTTTCAGTGAAGTAAGCTTCAGTGCTAGACCAAAAACCCAATATTTGACGATTAAGTTAAATAGGTAAGTTTTATTTTAGTCATTAAACTAATAAATTCTCATCATTTCTCAAAAAACTATATTAAAACAACTATGATCAAATGTTAAATTTGGGGTTTCATTTCATTGCATCAGAAAATGAATCAAAATTTTTCGATTCTGTGACACATCGATAAAAATCACTGGACAGTCTAATGGATTTCAATCTTTAAAATAATTGCCTGTTATTTTGTTACCTGTTCGTTTTGATATGCTGTGACTGCTATGAACTGAGTGTCTGAGAACTCGAAAGTGGCCATAGGCGTTTTGTTCTCATTCAGCTTCACAATGTGGATTCGAGGCTGGTACTTGTGCAGCGAATTCAACAGAATCTAAAACAAAAAAATACATCAACAAAATTACATTGAGTAAAATGAGATAGCATAAAAATACTTAAAAAAACAAGCGCACCCGCTTGGACATCCTGAGATTCCAGGATCGATCCTCGCGCTGTCAAATTTCTGCGTGAAACTGGCCTGAATAATGCTTACATATTCCTCACTTTCTTCGAAAGTCGGCACAACTAGTATATTAATAAGATATTTAAATATATTAAAATATCTTAGATATTCAAATATTTTAGATATCATATTGAATAATTTAGATATTAAGTCTCGATGATTTTTAGATGCTCATCTTCATTTCATGGACGCCTAGATTTCTCTATTTACTGTTAACACGAACGCCGAAGTTTAGTAGCAATTTGGATTCATTTTTCTATACTTTCTACTCCGCAAATTGCACGTACGACAAAAAACTTCAGATTAGGTCAAGTGATGGGTATATTTAATGATCAAGCCTTTGATTTTGTGACTTGAGCTGCAACAAAAAAAAAGGAAATGTTTTTTTTTTTCGGAGTTGGGAAATAAAAATCCGATTATTTTTGCTTCTCTTTTTCTTCATGTTCCTCAGTGCCGTTTTCCATCAGATTTGTGTCAATGCGTTTGCGGGTTTAAAATTGTTGCCAGCGACTAGATTTTTATTTACTATTGTTCTTATTGTCTTTTTTGTCCACCGTGAAGGTTTTTAGCTGTTAACTCGTCTTGAAAACATTTACCAATTTGTCTCAATATCTGAGCACAAAACAATAAGTTGTTCAAATGATTCAAATATTTAATTCCATTTGCGACGTTGCAAAACCTATTTTTGGGAAAGTTTGGATTTATGATATGAGACGCCATCGAAACTATTTCCTTATGTTCAGCGATCACTGAAGATTACCATTCCAAGTCCCTGCATCAAAAAATGTTTCATGTTTATAAATTCATTCTGATTAAAAGAGATTATAACTCGGCTAGTTTTTATAACAGTTGATTACAATTGGGCAAATGAAAGACAATTCCGGTGGAGGTTTCTCGCTTTTATGAATTGTAAAAGGGAGACAGCTTCTTTTGAACTTGCCAAAAACCGGATCAAACACTGAAGTTGAGAGCTGGTTTCAATTTCACTGGCGCCCTCTTTATAGCCCAAAACGCGAGTAGATAGACGTTTGATTTATCAATTGATCACAAAATATGCGGTTCTTTTTGCAACAGGAATACTATTGAGTGTTGATTGATGCTATTGGACCAAAATTTGAGCCAATCAAAGCAGTTCAATACAACTTTACTTTCTGGGAAGTTCTTGTTTCCAAGAATATAGTCTGTTTCAACAGCCTGGTTAAACAGGCCGTTTAGTTTAGAATAGCGACTATGCTTCTCATTAATGTAGCAAAATTGTTAAATTTCTGGCGCCATAAGCAGGTATTTGGATAGCTCACTCGCTGAAGGGGGGGGGGGGGAGGAAGAAGAGCGGGGCGCGGAAAAGAGCAGAAGCAAAATAGTCTAGATTGTTCGAGAACGTTTCAAAATGGTCATTAATTGTTCTAGATTTTTCCAGAACTTTCATACGCATATCGATATAAATAGCAGCACCAATATTTTAGTATAATTAATTAAAAAGTACCGGCTATCTCTATGGTTTAAACAATCTAGAGCATTTTGCTCCTGCTCTTTTCCGCACCCTGCTCACAACCACCCCTCCACCCAGCGAGTGATCTAACAAAACACCTACTACTGCCATTTAAAAACTTTTGAAGTGACATAGGTTGAGTAGAATTTCAGTTTTTTTTCTCAAAGTTGTATTTTATTTTTTTCTACTGACGCAGAACGCTGCTTCTATGGCCGAGTGCATAAGGCGTAACACTTATCATCCAACGGGTACCATCCAACGAGTACCCATGGGTTCGGGTGCCAGTGGGAGCATTTTATTTCTACATTTTGATTAATTTTTGGCATACCGATTGCGTCAAAAGGCAGATAAAAGGTGATCTTGAATTTGAAACATGCTTTCAATTTTTTTTAAAAATTGTTTGAGATTTAACAAAGTTTTCAGCGGCTTATGAATTTTTAAGGAACACAAAAAGCACGTTTATTTATCCAAGCCAAACTTAACCTGATTTATGCCAACAGACACCTGTTTCGGGTTCTTGAAAAGACAGAATGTTTTAAGCAAGTGTCGTGTAAGACGATTTTTGAGAACCCTGCGATCTAAGAAGAATTTGAAGAAGACTTATTTATAATCAGAGAATAAATTGTGTATTGTAGGGTTTCCGTTTTAGAACTGGCTTTCGTGAAATACCAATTGTTTAAAATTCGCCTTAGTTCGACATAAGTCGAGGATTTATGCGTTTGTGTTGGCTTTACTCGACTTTGTTCAAAATCATGCCAATGGAATTGTTTCATTGCCCTTTTCGGATCAAAGAAACGAAAAGAAGGTTTAAGTTTATGAAAGCGGGTTAAATCTGACACGGGTCCAAATCAGCAACAAAAGCGACTTAAATCAACTAATGACACATTGAGTGAAGTCGCTTGGTTGGTTTGAAGAGGGAAATAAATAAACATAAAATACAAGACAAGACAGATTCCACTTTGATACTTCCGGTGTTGGTTGCAATAAAATAAACAATAAATATCCTTTTATTTGTTACCATTTAGCCTCTGAAATATATTATTATCCCTGATCAGAGAGATATTGTTAGCCATAATATGTTCAATTATGGAGATAACATGCTCCGATATTGAACTTACCATTCAAAATGAAACACAGAATATACAATTCGTGAAACATAGGTGCTCAGAAATCAAAAATGTCTTAATTAGATTAAAGAAAATTATACCTAAAGTAGCGCGGAAAAGATACATTTCAAGACGAAATTTATCCGGTGAAATGTCTGGAAGCTGTTTTGAGTTAGCTGGCAAAACCGCTAGGGGTCTTTTTGGAACCCTGTTTAGCTAGCTATCCTCCCGTTGGCCAAATATTTACGGCCGGTGGATCCCAAATCAAAGGAGGCGATTGAGATCTGAGTAAATAGATCAGATTAAAACTGAGAGGTATTTGGCTACGACGACCGTAAGGAAACTGCAATTGAATTGAAGTTAGCGATAACTGAGGCTTAACCGTATCTGTTATTAGGGTGCAATATGTCGCCCAAAAAGTAATATGAAATTAAAAAATATAAATATGAAGAAAAGAAATTAAAATAGCTGCTTAATCTCTACCATAATTTTCTAACTATTTCAAAAGTATTTTGAAATTTTTCCTTTGGCTAGGAGATTTCTGCGCAGGGGCACATTTGGGAGGGGGTTGCCTGGGGGCAGATGCTTTATTTCGGGGATTCGAGCCCCTCACCAACCAAAGGGTCACCACTTTGGGATTAGTTTATGACATCCATTTTAGGCCGACCAACCCTAAAAATGTTCTAATGGCGCCTTCAGCAATAAAATATAATAATTTTGAAGCGGAGCGCGCGCCCAAAAAACGCAATTTTTTTATCAAAATTTTCCAAAAAGTGCCCAAAAACTGAATTTTTAACTTAATTTTTTTTTCAAAAATTTGCATGCGGCGCTAAATTTTTGGTCAAAATAGGGTCTTTATAGTGTTCTGGGAGTGCTCGGATAATCAATAGGTCGAATTAGAACAAGTAAAACAACATTTTTGAAAAAATTTTGAAAACATGCTCCCTTTTTTGAGGGCAATGATTTTGCTGATAAGTTTTACCACGTTTTCGAAGGTTACTTCGCCACGCTGATTTTTTATCCCGAGTGGTATATCACATTAATGCCTTTTCAATCGCAACTCAAGTTGTATTTTGACATGTTCAACACTTCAAAACTTTCACAGCGCCGAGAAAAATCATTGAGGAGTTTTCGCATTTGGACTAACTTCCAGTGAATGTCATTCCCTGTGGCACACTTTCATTTGGTTTTGACGAACCAATCAAACGCTCGTATCACTCACCTGATTAGCTGTGCTGTCTTTGTTGCTAAGCTTGACCTTTGAGAAGCTGATGGCCTGCTCTGACATCCAGTGAGACCCGAAATTAGGCGAGTCCGGGTGCAGGTAAGCGGCGGGCAAAGTTGGCGACTGTTGTTTCTCAGTGCAGGGTTCCCATCTTCCGTTTACGTACTTCCACCGTTTCTTGTCTGCAGCCACGAAGTCTAGTACTACACTGTACATGCAGTTTGGATCAAGACCAAGGACTCGCACTTTAATGACTGGAAACATCCTCCTAAGGAAATGAAACACTATATAAATGGATGTTCTGCAGGCTGTAGTGGGTTTATGCGGGGGGGGGGGGGGGGGGGGGGGCTGGCTGGCCATTTTTGGCTGGCTGGCTGGCTGGCCATTTTTGGCTGGCTGGCCCTAAAAGTGCCTAAAAACGTCTTTTTTGGCCTGTTTTTTTTCAAAATTCGCCTTTTCAAGAAAATTGGTCAAAGCAGTGCAGTTTTAGTGATTCGGGGGAGCTCGGAAAATCAATTTGGTCGACTTCCAAAAAATTCAAATAATCGACAAAGTTTTCTATCTTTTTTTTGAAAATCCTCCCCCCTTGAGAAATCCTAGATCCGCCCCTGTCTAAAGTTCAAATCGAAGTCTTATTTATGCATCTCTGAAGAAGTTTTGGCTAGATTTTGCCCTAATGAGAAAAATGGGGGGAAGCACAAGCAGAAAGTGTAGATATTTCGACATGAAACAGAGCGTGTAAAAACAATATCGAAAGAGAGAGAGAGAGAGAGAGAGAGAGAGAGAGAGAGAGAGAGAGAGAGAGAGAGAGAGAGAGAGAGAGACAAATGAACCCAAAGTGTGAGCTCCAATCCAATGCACAACACGATTTACAAAAGTCTGTTGAATTTTATTTGGATATTCTAACTAGCAATTCAGTCATTGCCATGCGTTTAAGGTGATCGTTGAGTTCAATTCTTCCGATTTCTCAAAGTTAAATTTGGGTTCAAAAACTTCGGCTGGTCACTTACTGTAAAGTTATTATGCTTTTGCAAAAAAGTTTGAATTTCGCTACTGTGGCCGAGTGGTTAAGGCGTTGATCTTATTTTCCCAATCACGGTAGTCCTCTAGTGCTCTTGAGCTCAAACGGAGTTCTTCCTAGCGGTAGTATTTAAATTATATTTTTTCCGTTAATTTTTGCAAACCAATGTTTTCCAGGCGTCGACAAAACGTGGCCGTTTTAAGACCACATTTGTAAGATGTTTTAACCTTTAACATCAGGGGCGGATTTAAGGGGGCGGCGGTTTTGAATACAAATTTTGAGGTGGGAGGGCGCACCGAAAAAGCGCAATTTTTTGGGTCAAAATTTTCCAAAATGTGCCTAAAAATGCCTTTTTTGGCCTGTCTGTTTTTTCAAAATTTTTATTCAAAATTTTAATGCTTTGGGAGAACTCGGAAAATCAATTTGGTCGACCCCCCTTCAAGAAAATCGTAGATCCGCTAGCTTAACATTGATGCCTGCTTAACATAAAACTTTTTAAGATGTTTTAGCCTTAACATTTCAGGTATTTTTACCTGAATTTTTCTTAATTTTAGGGAAAATTTTTAGGTAAATTTACATAAATGTTAAGGTAGTTATGGGTACCTAATTTTGTCAGGTAAATTTTGAAGATTAAAATACCTATTCTTATCAAGTTGCCAAAAAAGTGAGAAAATTGTCCGAGTAGACAGAGCTGAAAGTTGCTTAAACAGTTGCTCGAAACGCTTTTTCTGCCCTTTCCTGTAATAATTCGAGGTATAGGCATTCGTAGCCTTTTAAGTAGGTATCTTTATGAGTTACCTCATTTGGCTTCTCTATGTACCTTTTTCTTTCTTTCTTTCTTTCTTTCTTTCTTTCTTTCTTTTCTTTCTGCCTATTTCAGATATATTTAAAAAAAACGGTAAGTGTGAGTTGAGTGAAAATATACCTTCCGCTCTTGGTGACAATCATCTCATTCTCGCACTTCTTGAAGTTTCTCCACAGCTCCGAATCTTCCAAAGTCACGTGCACGTCATTCATCGCCTGGCACAGAGACAGTTCCGGGGGCACTTTGGCCGCCCGCAACACGTGCTGCAGGTTGGATGACGTCATCATGCCACATGATGATGAAACAAGGTTACTGCTCGATCGGGATTGGTCGACTGAGAGATTGGGGTTGTTTACCTGTTGAGTCTGAGGTTGCTGTTGTTGATTATGCGGTTGATGGTTGATATCGGATATGGGTTGTTGGTGTTGGTTGTGATGATGTTGTAAAGGTGTTGTTGACATTGTCATCTCGGGGAGTTTTAGTTAAGGAAATGCTTTCAATCAAATAAACTTTTAATCAAATACTATTAATACAAGTAATCAGCAATAAGAAGGCGAGGAACTGTGAAAAGGGGTATTGACAATTTGAATGAAGCTTTCTTTACTGTATTTTTTTATTTACAGATTTCTGAAAAGTCTCTTCGATATTTTTGAAAGCTTCGGCGTTCTAAAATCTAATTGAGAAAAAGTTAATGATTCGAGAGCGCTAGTATCGGTATGTGATCACTCTGATACGCTTGATTCCGGAATTAAGACCAGCAAAAATGAGGATCCAACCAAGTTCGCTTCTTTTCTTCAGACCAGATTGATCAGTTTCAGTAGACCAAATGAAAGTGTGTTTGTTTTTGTTTTCTTCCGTCCAATTGGCAGTCGCGACCGGGTCTGTATAAATAATCTTCTTTTGTAGTTTGTTTTAAAGTTTTTCTTGGTACAAACTTAAAACGTCTTATAAGTTTTCAAAGTCAACTGAAGAGTGCTATAAACTGTTTGTTTCGTCAATTTTTTCACCAAAACACAAAGCTAACGTGCGATCTCTAATAACAAAAAACTTCTAGAAATGTTGATTAGATAGCTAAATTTTAGGTTTTTTATCTTTGAAATGCAGGTAAAGATTTTTATGTTTTTTTTGTCTGATTTTGACTATTTGAAAGGATGAAAGCTGAGTAGAGCGCAATTATTGGGCAGCATAAAAGGTGATTGTTTGTTGTTGTTGACTTTGTTGATTGACTGATTGGCAGGAATAAATCAAGCTCTAAACCAGATTGCGATCCAGTGTTGGTACTATAATGACTGGGTGTTGTATAGTTTAGCAGACAGCTGGTAATTCTGTCACAAGTGTAGATAGATCAAAATGGTGAAAAGTTCTGACAAGTGTGAAGTGATTTCTCTTATCCCAATTGGAGCCCGAGTGAGAATTTTGACCAATGAATGAAGTTCTTTCTGGAACTGAAGCCAGAGTAGTTATAAATTATAACAAAGGGGTTTCCGGCTGCGGGACTCAAACGTTGGTCGGTTTCAGTTTGAAATCCAAATCAAACCTTTCAAGTCGCTTTCAACTTTGCCGACTCTAATTAGGTCACCTGTGCGCATGTTGTTTTTTACTGCTCTCAACTCTGTTAAATTGTTCGCACATCAAACGATTCTATGTTTCTATTTTGTTAACTTTGTTTCTATACCACTCTAATATGGTACCCCTTGCTTATAAGCTCAAAAAGAGTCCGGCTCAGGTAAAAACTCTCCTGAAACTATCGAATCGCATAAATGACGCTTTCAACTCGTAATATCCATATCACAAAAGTCAGAACAAAGTTAAGTCAGTTGGTTTATTATAATCACAATCGTTATATTACACCGTAATTACAACTATGCTTCTGGTGTAAATAAGACCTGTTCAAAAAATGTCTGTCACTCAAAACTTCTGAAGTTAAGTCACTTTCTCTGATCTTTGGTCTGAAGTTTGGACACAACAAAACTATCCGCACCGGCAATAGACTAAAAGAGCCAATAGGCACAGAAAAACGAAGCCAGAGTTTAACAACAAAGAAAGAAAGAAACTTCTGAGCCAGCGCAGTGTCAGATCCGCACCAAATTTGAGAACTTTATTAGACAATAATTTTCTCTTTGATCTCATGCTAATCAAACCTTTTAGCCGGCGGAACGTGCACGACTACAAGTGCCACGCGAAAACGCGCGTCAACCGAACGCAAATCGAGCCGACACTAGTTCAAAGCAATCATAATTACACACGATAAAAACCATTTGAAAGTTTGTACAACAAGGCGCCACCAACGACTACTGGCGAATAAATTTAGAAAAGAAAGACATTTATTACTTTTTACACGATGAATCTGCACTCAGAAAGCTTTATACTCGGCTAAAACAAAAGCAACTAAGAGTTTTGTAATGATAAGCATCTATATAGTTTGGCTCTTTCATGTGTTTAGAAGAGCCGATGTTTTTACAGGCTGATTTACTCAAAGCTGTGAACACCATAAAGCTGCTGAGTTTTTAGGTGTAAAAATGGTTAATGTGTTCTCTATGTTAAGCCAATAATCTAATGCTCATCATAGCACCTCTTTTTCTCATGAGTAATATTGGTACGGAAGGTTACGACTGCGGCCAACTTTGGAAGATACCAGGGCAGTAGCGGGTTTAGGGGAAAGGTGGCGACTGAATCGGACGCTTCCTCTTTCAGGAATTCGTCCCTATGACCACCCAGTAGTTTTGCATTTTTGGCCTATTTTTCATATAAATTGGCTCGCAGCGCAGAAAATTTGTTCGTAATAGGATCTTGATAAGGATTTGGAAAATTTGAAAAAAGGTTGATCAAAATTTTTGAAAATCTGCTTGCCCTCGAGAAAATCCTAGCATAAGCAGGGCACGTGATAGGTTGGACTTTTTCTGTCGATACAATTTTAAAAACGACAACCGATTACAAAAGCGCTTTAAATTATTGTAAATAACAATAAACTTTTTGTTCCGCCTTTCGAAGAAATTGAGAAACATATATGCTTGATGTTTTTATGGACTACTTAAGAAACTCACCTCCTTGTCAAGAAAGGGAGAAGAAACTTCGACCAATCTTACAAAGCAGCAAAATTACAATGGTCAATAGAAAGCTCTAGTGCTCACCTAATATTTTTATTTAGAGGAGTAGAAATTGGTTTGTAGATTGGGGGGAGATTGTTACAGGAATTTTTTATTTACTGAGACCAACTTTCAAAAGAATAAATGCTCTCTGCGGGGAACAATTACTGGATCTTCGAGAACCAAGCGGAGCGTGACCACCACTTTAATAACCTGTGTGGCAAGCCTGGCCAAGGTCGGGGACTTATTTTGCGACCACCGCGACTCAAAATGGTCATGTTCCAACCATCGCGACCCAAAACATGTTTGGTGCGACCATTGCGACTCAAAATGAATATATTGCGATATTGCGCTAACGAAGAAGTTTTACGCGACTTTGCACGGCCCGAAAAAGATCTGTTGCGACCATTGCGACTCAAAATGATTATGTTTTGACCATCGCGAACCAAAATATGTATCTTGCGTCATTGCGACTCAAAATAGGTATGTTGCGACTTTCCGCAACCGAATTCGTTTTTTTGACGTTGTCAATGAGTAGAAAAGTCCAGAGAGTTCAGAAAAAGTCTAGGGGCAAGAAAACAGAAAATTTTTGAATTTTACGAGCTAATGGACAAAACAAAATTTAGAATTGTCAAAATTGCAATTGAAATGAAAAATTTATACACAAATTGAGAAGGTTAATCAAAATTTTCCAAATTGCACCCAAAAAATCAACTTTAATCAAATTGTTTTTAATTTATTCAATTTTTTAATAGTATTGACTATTCTCGAAGTTGTTGTAGTCGATAAGTCCTATACAAAACAACAGTTGTCTGATTTGTATTGGTCTTGGACTTTTTCTGCTTTTGTCCTATTCTGCTTTTTGTTCCGCCTCTATTAAACTGACTTACGATCACTCTGAAGTGAGCGTATCTCAGCGGCTCGTTTCATTTTTTGATGGTGAAAACGCAACGCGAACTATTTGTGTGTGAAGAGTTATCTCGCGCTACTAAATGGCTCCAACTAAAATTGAGTCACGCTATTTGATCTTATAAGTTCTATACACGATTCAAATTTTATCATTCATTTTTAATGTTATCAATCTGAACTTCACAGTTTGTCAATGTTTCTTTAAACAAAAATTATCCGAGAATAAGAAAAGGACAGTCAGAAGACTCAAGACTTTTCCTGATATGAGCAGTCTTCTATTGCTTATAACGACAATTTATAGCCTTGGATTTTTCATTTTGTTTCGTATAGAAGCGTTTTGCCATTTTTAAAAAAAATTATTGCACAATCATACAAGGGCATTACCATGTGGTTTTATTTGTGGAGAAACAATGTCAAAACTTTTCATTGTTAAAATCACGCGAAAATAGTTTTAGTTTTTTTTCTTGCCATTTAAAGGAAAAAAATGTTGTTTTTTGCTGTTGTTGAGTATCTTGGAAGATATAATGTAATAATCAGGATGATTTTTCTGGCGCTTTTCTAAACTTTTTGGCAAGAAAACGTAGAAAACTTTTCTTAAATTTGTGATTTACACTTATTATCATGCTCGCAGAAGCTAAATTTAGCACTTTTTTAATTTCTACACTAAATAAGCTTTCTCGGTACTTTTGGCGATATAATTTTTATACAATAAAGTTGCTTCGAAGCTTTTTCTGATTAAATGGCTGGCCTCAAGAATTTGGATGGAGTTCTATAGATTTCAGATGGCACAAAGTTTTCATTAAAAATGGTCGCTTGAAAAAAACGAACGTAGTTTGAGGAAAGCACACCGATCAAAAGGATTCAGAATTTTTTTGTCAGCAATCCAATGAAAACTTTTAAAAAAGTTTTCATGAAGCTGTAACACCCTCTCAATCAGAAAAAAAGTTAAGACTCAACACTAATAAACACTGTTGTGCAAAGAGCGAACAATTAATTTTATCAGCTTGTAAAACAATTCATGAAAAAAACGGCTCTGGAAAATTTTTGAATACGTTGTTTTTCGTTTTTGTTATATAAAAAACTCTTCGGGGAAACAACGATAATTGTTTTTTGTTTTACAATTTGTGCACTTTTTCAAGTTTTGTGGACTTGATCCAGCATTAATTAGACGTTAAAAAAAGCGCTGCAGATTTCATAACTCTCTCATAAATACCTGAAAAGGCAGGTTCTAAAAAATTCCAAAGTTCTATAAAGTTCCTGGAGTAGCAATAAAAAAAATATGCGTGGTAAAGGTTCTTAATTAGTGATATAAAATTTTGAAATGATTTGATTTTTTCAAATGGTTTCCAAAAAATTTTAACAAAAATTTTTGCTACCAAAATTTTTCGTAGTTTGAAATTCAACTGCTTTTAATTGCATAGCTATAACGCAGAGTTTCTTTGGGTTAAGCACAAGCAATAATTTTTATATAAGAAACAAGGACTGTCATCAGGTGCGGTGCGATGCTACCTGTCTCTTGAAAGTTGATTTCATCCAGCTTTTTTCTCGCTTGCTAGTCGTTCCTGGTTTTCCTCACTTTTTCTTCAGAGCAAACCTCCTTCTTGAATGTTGGTATCCGCTCAGCTTTTTTCTCGTTGGATAGTCGTTTTTAGCTTTTCTTGTTTTGCTTAAAAGAGCTGACATTCCTATTGAAATTTGGCTCTGTTCAATTTTTTTCACCGATTGCTAGTCTTCTCTGGGTTTTCTCCCTTGCTGTTTACGTTCAGCTTTTTTCCCGCATGCTATTTGTCTCTGGCTTTTCTTTGTTTGTCCCTTAGAGCAAGTAATCTTCTTAAAAGTTGTTCTGTCCAGCTTCTATTCTCGATTGCTAGTCGTTTTAAGTTTTCCTCTTTTGATGATGAGAGCAAATCTTCCTCTTGAAATGAAAGTAATTTCCGTCCAGCTTTTTCTCCACTAGTTAGTCGCTGCTATTTTTTCTCGTTTGTTTTTCAGAACAGAAATTCGTCTTAAAAGTTTGTTTTGTCCAGCTTTTTCCCCGCTTGCTTGTCATCTCTAATTTTCTTCGTTTGATCAGAGAGACAAATATTCCTCTTCAAAGTTGGCTTAACTTAGCTTTTTTCGCTTTTCTAGCAGCCTCGAGCACTTACTGTTTGTTCTTCAGAGCAATTTTATTCCCCCAGAGTAAGTTCAATGCATTTTCCTTGTCGCTTCGCTAGCATTTTCAAGCATTTATTGTTTGATTGCTTCTCGAAAGTGCTTGTTTTTTAGTAAAACAATTCATGAAAAAAACGGCTCTGAAAAAATTTAAATGTGTATTATCAAGTGCTTGAATTTAAATTACTTCACCAATTATTTTATTGAATTAGCAGACACATATAGTTTTTTTTTCTGATTAATTAGTTTAAAAAACTCTTGTATGATCAGAACAAAACCACATAAGAAGTAATTTAAGACTCTTTTTGTTCCATTTATGTGAAGAAACCACAAAAATGCAATCATCATTGACGTTCACTAAAATGATTTTGGTTTTGTGATCTTCAATTATTTTCATTTTTTGTCCTTGATTTACCTAAAGCTTTTGGAACGGGTTCCTCAAGAATTATCCATTTCTTTAATTGTATTTTCTCAAAAACTGCAAAAAAGTCAGATGTTTCATCTTTGCAAAACCTTAAATTACACTTTCGAAAAAATTTTTACTATATCTATTTCATGAACAACAAAATTAAGTTTTCAAACTAGCTTTCTTCAGAACCAGCTAGAAACAAGCAAAAAACATCGATTTTTAAATTTCGAAAAATACATAATAAAAAGGAAAAAAGAAACGCTTCATAGGTCAGATGATTCAATTTTTGATTTCTTCACTAATCAGTTT